ATTGAAGTATCATTGACATGCAATCTGATACTAGTTTCAGGAGTACAACATAGTGATTCAACATTTATATACATTATGAGATGATCACCATGATAAAGCCTAGTAATCTGTTACCATTTAAAGGCATTACAATATTACTGACTGTTATTTCCTTTTCTATATATTACATCCCGATGACTTACTTATTTTATAAGTGAAAGTTTGTGCCTCTTGAGACTGTTTTTGTTCCAAAAGAAAAAAATATATATATATACATCTGATGATATTAAGGTGTAAAGGAAGGACTTTGTTCTTTTCTGTAGCCCCAGTGTCTAGAACAGTGCCCAACACATAGTAGCTACTCAGTATTTGTGGAATGAATGAAATAATGCCTTAGTAAACCAGTAATTAGCATGAGAATTGCAGCTCTGCTATGAAGCTGGCTCAGACTTTTTTCTGAATTGATGTTTTTGTAGAACCAGAAAGCCACCAGCTCCTCTCGAAGTGAAGCTGAAGGGCGGAAAGGCACTATTTCACAGTATTTCACTACCTTACGCTGTCCTGTGTGTGATGACCTGACTCAGCACGGTGTCTGCAGTAAATGTCGGAGCCAACCTCAGCATGTTGCAGTCATCCTCAACCAAGAAATTCGAGAGTTGGAACGGAAACAGGAGCAACTTGGAAAGGTATGACCTTATTTAACAGACCCAGAATCCCAAGCAGTCATTTTTCAGGGAAATGTAGTCAACTCTTGAGGTATAGTATAAGATGTGAAACTGGTATGAAAATGGAGTAAGGATTCTAAGTGAATAAACCTCCTAAAATCTCAAAAATATCATAGTTGAACTAAACTATTAAAAATGGCTAAATTTGTTATATACTTTATTTTTGTTTTTATGGAATAATGTATTATGTTTATTAAAACCATAGAACTACCATGTCCAGCCACCCAATTTCTTTTTTTAAAACTACTATTATAAAATAAAGAAAAGTACCACTTGCTCTGTCTACCATATCTACTTACCATTCTCATAAAATTTGGTTTTCCTAGAGAATTGCTAGTAAACTTGGAAGGTCTGCAATTCTGAGAGTGCAGACAGAAAGTTAGTAGTTAACATGATTGAGCTTCCTATCTACCAGAGACTGTTCTGGCCCCTCCACTGGTGAGGAACCTGACAAAAGGGGGTTAAGTAATTTGCCCCATGTTCCACTGTTAGTAAGCAGCCAAACTGGGGTACAGACATAAAATGCAGAGGTGATTTTTCAAATGTGGGAATTCCAGCAGAAATGAACAAGAATCTCTTGAAATAAGTGGGGAAATGAAGTCTAAAGAAAAATTATTATTATGGCACATTTTTTTAAGTAGTGTATTTCTTAAAGGACTGATTATATCTTCTTATACCATAATGTTTCAAGTTACATTTTTAGCATTCAGGTGCGAGAATAACAATTTTGAGATGGAGTTTGTTTTGTCTTTAGAAGTGCAAGATAAAGTTACTGGGATGTTTTAAAACCAACCACATAATCGAGAGGCAGTGTGATTTTGTGGGAATGAATCAAGCTGATGGTGAGGGAATCAGGATTCTAGTATCTGGCCATGTCCCTTGGCCCCAGTTTTCTCAGGATGCAGGCTGACTGATGCTCTTTCATAGGTCCCATCCAACTCCAACCTAAATTTTCCTATACAGTCCGCTCCTGGCAGCTAGTTTTCTCACAGGCCTAACATAATCCAACCACCAGTGTGTAAAGGCCAGTATGTCCTTGAGGTAAAGAAGGTTTTGAACCAAGTCAGAGCATCCACAGCCTCCTAGGAAGACAGCCTAGCTGCTGTGCAGGTGAAGCCATCTCTTAGGAGACTAGGCTCTTCAGAATGTGAATGATTACAGAAAGAGAAAGATGCTTAAGGACTGGTAAAGTATAGACTACTTCCTCTGCACTATTCTAGCTGCTATTCTGCACTGGCAGAAAATTCTTAAGTTTTACAGAGTATAGCCAGTCATCTAGAATGCATTAAACAAATTTCATTAAGAATGGTAGGATCTGAAAGGTATGATTATTTTGATGCAGCCACAGAAGTCTAGCTTGTTAAAATGACAAGTTGATTTTTCCCTCTCCCATCCATCTCCTAAATAGTTCTTAAACACCCTCACTTTTCTTCTTCCCTTCTGTTACCATCCTAGCCCAGCCCACCATTCTCTCCCCTCTAAACTCCTGCAGCAGCCTCCTGCCCTGACCCCTCTGTTGTCCTCAACACTGTAGCTAGAATGATCTTTTAAAAATACAAATCTGGTTTTCTCTCTCTTTCTCCTCTCTTTCTCTGATAAAATCAGACTCCTTAGCATGCCCTGTAGCTTCTTCTTTATTCTGATCCCCACCTGCTACCTATCTCACCATTTCTTGCCCTTCTCCCTTCATACTCTACCCTCCACCCATGCTGTACTGAACTTCTTTTAGATCCATGAATACACCTTAATTTTCCCATATCCTGCCCTTAAAATACCCTGACCCTTTGCCTGGAACACAATTATTAAAGATCTAAACAACAATGTAAGGTAGAACTTATGATTGTGTATTAAACTGTGTAACCCAGTATTAGAGAAGATACCTTCTTTTCCAAGTGTTTATGTAATATTTAAAAATTGGCCATATCTTAGTCTATAGAGAAAAGCTTAATAAACTTCAGAAAGTAGAAGTATTGCAAACATTTTATCAATACAATTCTATAAAACTACTAATTAATTTTTAAACTCAGAAAACAAATGATCCTTCTCCTTGGAAAACACTCCCTATTAAAGAAACAATACATGTAAGATTCTAGACAGCCATAGCAGCTCTCAGAGAAAAATTCATCACCTTAAACAATTAAAAATAAATTAAGCATCTGACTGAAATTTTTAAAGTAGATTTTTTGTTTTAGAATGTCTGCTAAAAAGTAAGTTTCCAGGTTGTGGAGGTTAAAGTTTTAAATGTAAGCTTACTGAATAGAGCTTACATTTAAAACTCAGTACATGGGTGTTAAATCACCAGTAAAGGATCTTGAAACCAAACACTGAGATCTATTTAGTGAGGCAAGTAATTCCATCCTGGCTTATTTATCAGATAAGCACAGAGAGTGCATAAATATTTAACAGTTTGTCCTGGCACCTGAATGTAGCTGTAGTACAGACAGTCTATATTTGGGACTAGTCTTGAGTCTTTAGGCAGAGGTCTCACTGGTGAAAGGCTGCAGAGTAGTACAGCACGCTTAGTCTCAGAGAGCCCGCTGAAGCACGGAGCTCTCGGCCATCTGATTGTGGCCGTATTGTAACGCTGGATATGGTAACCAGTGTGCTCAGAAAAACGTTCCTTTCAACTGACTGGAAAATGTTGGGGCAGAGGACAAAAGTCTTTTGCCCTATGAGACATCTCTAAAACAGAAGCTTTTTGATACAGACCACAGAAATAACTGGAGTAAATCTGATTTCTCTCTAAAAAGATGGAGTAGTAGCTACTGTATGGTAGCCTTCTTTTTTAATTACTTAGATATACCATTCACGTAGGAAAAAATCAGCCTGTATTTTCTTGACCTTTGGGGTCCTCGGTAGTAGTATCCTTCTAAATTTTTTCATGTTTCTTATGTTTTATCATCTTTTATCATTATTTTAACCATATGTGTAACTTGAGACTTTACATATTAAAATCAGATCATTCATTGTGTAAGACAGTGTAATACTTCTTTTTAAAAATTGCCTGAGTTATTTTCCTTTAGATCAGAGCTCACTGTTTATCAGAATCACCTGGGAGCCCTAAAAAGTACAGATTCTTAGGTTCTCATGCCCAGAAATTCTGATTCATTGATCTGGGATCAGGTGCAGGCATTAGTCTGTTTTTAAGCTTATGTATAGCCAGAGTTGAAACCATTGGTCTAGACTAACTACGATTTTCAAATTCACATTCTTTGATTTTTTTTCCATACTAGCATTTTCTCTTCTGAAATAAGAAAATGGGTAACTTTTTTATAATTGGCATATAAAAAGATAAATCTGAGTAACGTAAAACATAGTGTACACAGCCCTCATTTAAGAGACAGTCTCTAAATGTTAACTGGGTAGCCTGTTTATGTGAATCTTATTTATAGTAACATAATAGGAATCTACTATAAATGAAAGTTGATTTCCAGGGTGAAATGAATCCTTAGGAAATTTTGTGCTCTATGTTTTGTGAAATAATATCCTTTAGAAATGTCTCAACCTAGGGTTGGCTTTGTTTCAAAGAGATGAAAATTAATGAAACTTTCTGCCAGCAATCTGTGGTTGGTCAGAAAGGAGGGACTGAAAGTTTGCTGTTTACACATATACACGGAAACTTTCCTATCGTTTTATGTACTCCTCTTATACTTTCAGATATGCAAGAACTGTGCAGGTTGCTTTGATCGACATATCCCGTGTGTTTCTCTGAACTGCCCAGTACTTTACAAACTCTCCCGAGTAAATAGAGAATTATCCAAGGCACCATATCTCCGGCAATTACTAGACCAGTTTTAAATTGTCAATATCAGAGAATTCCAGGTGCTATTTTTTTCAGTGTTTACCACTAAACTGTTGTGCATGGTGCTTTTTCAACTTTCATCGAGTCAAGTATGTTCACTGTCTGTCTGTTACCTGAAGACTATGAAGACTCTTACGCTGACTGAATTAAAAATTGTACTCGTTAATCTCTGAATAGCTCACTTCTTACAATGTACAAATTCCTCATCCTTTCACCTTTTTAACATTGTTTTATAATGCAGGTGTTAAATTTGCTCCAGTATGTGTAACATCTTGTAAATCCATTTGAGTAGATCATATTTACTTCCCTGTGGAAGGAGCACTGAAAACCTCTTTTTAAAAAAACCATTCGTGTTTTCCTTGAACTGTCTGTATCAAGACGTGTTACTTAGAGATATCCATTCACTTTATAATTTTGATTGCGAAATATTTTGTAAATACACTTTTTTACTTTTCAAACAACTGAGTAAAAATAATGTGCAATGAATTTTATACAAATGATTTTCAAGTTGTTTGGTATATTTCCTCTAGGTTTTGCTTGACTCAGAGTAGAGTTGTTATTTTGATCAAACTGTGCAAACAATAGTACCACGTGTAGCATTTTGAAACATTATTTTCTAAAACCGCTGTCTTGCTTTAGCTATTAATGGGGCATTGTGAGGAACTGTGCAAAGACATTTTTGTTACAAACCTGTGGGCCTGTTGCAATACTTTAAAAATAAAAAATTTTATTCCATTTTTGCTTGTTTTGTATAGACATTTCTATTGCTTCTAAATATGCTTAAAATATTTTCTTTCCTTATGTACAGTTAATCTTATTTGCCATCATCTTGAACACAAAATGTGTATTTAGAATATTTGTATAACTGTATAAAATAAAAGGAATTATGTGGTCAGTGCATTGTTTTCTAAACTGGAAATCATTTTGTTTTAAAAGTTAATAACGGAAACCATATTAAAATTGAATAAAATATGAAATATGGCAGTGTGGTTTTATCTTGCTATAAACAGTATTATCTTTATCTGTTTTATAAGTCATTACATCTTCCCTATGATTTCTGAATTTTAATAAGATAAATTTAACTCATCATATCCTAATTGATGTTGCAGTTCCCGTACCAAAACTTTAAGATTTATAAAAATGGCAGCAAAACTAGTCTAGGAAAAGTTTATTTCTCATCCTTTCAGAGTTCTAAGACTCTCCATCCTAGCAGATCTTCTGTGTTCATTTTCACTTGGATATAGTTAACCTTGAAGCCAGGACTTTCAAGAGGGCAAGCAAAAATTATACTAGTACTTTTTTAAGACTTAACAATGCCAATTTTTTCAATAGAAAAAAAAATGTATTTTAAGATAGAAAGCTCCTCTGGTTATGCACCAGAAACAGGTCTTCCATGGCCAAATTCAGTACTTACAAATACTGGGGGGATTTGTTTTCTGAAAATTATATGGTAAATATGTACTCAAAGAGATATAAATCATGTGTCTGCACATATTTCTCCTAAGTACTGTGGAGACATAATAAAGCCCTACTTCTGTGCATCTTTTTTTCATTTGGGAGGCTGGAGCTAGTCGTCAAAATTAGGTTTTTCTTACCCTTGCATGGGTGACCATTGATGAAGTTTTCTCTGTTACTTTCCCTTTTCTAAGTTCTGTGCTATTCAGGCTTACACTTACATCATCTTTCTCATCAGAATAGCTGGACACAATATTCTCAACAGGATAATAATTCTTAACCTCTTTAAAATTGGACGCAACCAAACTAACAAATGGTATTCAACACAAGTGCCCAAAACAAGCTCAAAACTAGTTTTAGGGACCTGGCCTATCTCTGGTTCCCTCTTCTGCAGGGGAATGCCTCCCCTGTAATTCTGTCCTCAGAGTCTGTTGCCTGCCTTTTTTAATGCAATTCATTTGCTGTTTCAGTAACTGTTACCTGTGAGGATGTTGAAACACGGCCCTGTTTTACCAAAAAATATTTTGTAAGGTGCTTCCAGTATACTTTCATAATTATTTCCCCTCTTTTACAACAGCTATTAATAAAGTTTTGTTTTTCACCCATAGTGCAAAAAAAAAAAACCCTTTAATTTTCTCAGTAATGCTTTAGAAACAATCTCATTAAGCATTCCCTTAAGTTTGTTACAACATCATCTTCTGTCATTCTGACCACTTCCCACCAATGTGTTTCCCTAGAGATGTGAAGTGTTAACAAAAGCTACTTACAACTTTGTCTCCCTCTTCATTCCCACAGAAGTCCCAGTCAACAGAGGGAAACGGGCAAATGCTGAACCATGTAATATTCAATTCTATATGAACTCCAATTTTCTAATAGTGTCTGTAAAGAAGGCCAATATATTGGGGAAAAACAGATTAAAATGTGAACAGAAGAGCAGTTATAAAGAATTCTTAGAGGAAGTAGTTCTGTGAGGGCTGGAGAGAGTTTGAAAACTGTATTCAGTCCTGCCAACTGTCATAGGACATGTCCTTGTTAGTTTCAGAAAAAAAGCACATTCTCTGCCGTCAACATGCTGTCCTAATGACCCAAATTCTCTTCCAGAGCCATACCTTATAGAGTCTTGTTTCTGTGTCATCTTGATCTTTCTGTCTACTTTCCATTGTTTCATTTTCATAATAACTGAAGCACAGGGATATTCCTTCAAGGCCTATCAAATAAGATTTAAATTGATTTCTCAATTTCAGACTAGTATTTCTTAAAATAGCCACATATATGATTTTATAAAGTAGGAATAAATCTAGCTATAAACAACATTATTAGGGCTCTCCCATGAAAAGGGAAGGCGGGGTAAGGCAACAGTGCACAACTCACTATTTTCAGGCTGGATGTGTCCTGATCTCTGTCACTGAGACCTACATCTCTTGGAAGACAGTCTGCCAAATGCACTTTACTCATTGCTACCCGCTAAACACCCGTTTCTCTCCTGATGTGAGGAAACTTGTTAGCCTTTAACCATTTTTAGTTTTATGAAAATGAATGAATCCTCATACCATTGATACCCCAGTGTTCTGCTTAATAAAAGCTTTATACAGGAGAGTAGTCATGAATTGTTTCTAGCATTTGGGATTGGAGGATGGAGTTGTAAGCCAGCACTAAACCCACTGCACCTCTC